AAAAAAAAAAAGACTTCGAGGCTGCAGTAAGCTATGAGCCCATCAGTACACTCCAGAGCAGAACCCTGTCTCAAAAAAAAAGGAGAAATAAATCTCAGTGAATGAGAGATTTATGAATAGTTGTGGAATAAATGACGGGCTCATCCTCCTACCCCCTAACGCCTGGCTCAGGGCGTGGGGTACAGGAGCAAATTTCCTACGTGGAGCAGGTAAGAAAACTGAGGCAGAAACGGAGGAGACGCGGTGCTCTGGGACTCAGCGCTAGGGGGCGGGTCGCGGGCGCGCACGTTGCGCCTCGGGCCGGGGGCGCGCACGCCGAGCGGCCGGCCATGGGCGGGAACATGGGCGGGGCCGGGGCGGGGCAGTGCGGGGGCCGGATGGCTGTAGCTGAGGCAGCTGACGCGCCAGTCCGAACCGGAGCGGGTCGGAGGTGCAGCCCGATCCCGCCATGGAGCAGCCGAGGAAGGCGGTGGTGGTGACGGGTACGGGGGCTGGGCGCCAAAGGCGGCTGCAGGGGCAGCGGCCGGGGGCGGGGACGGGCCGGGTGGAGCAGGTGCTAGAAGTAGCGGCAGCTTTCGGAGAATGTCATAGCCTGCGGGAGCCCAGCTCAGTCCCGCTACCTAGAAAGTGGAGGAGACGGCTCCTCCTTGGTGGCCCCACGATCAAGAGATGAGGCAGGCAGGGGCGTAGGGCACCCGAGCGATACCCCGCGTGGAGCAGGCCCCTCTGGCTTCCTTCCTTCCCCGAGTGAGGACAGTGACCCTCCGGGCACCTACTTACTCTGACCAAGGGTTAACCAGACTCCGCCTCCTTGCCCTTCTCGTCTTCGGGCCTGTCCCCCACCCTCCCCGCGCCCCAGGGGACAAAGGCCGATTTGCGGGCAGGAAGTGTCCCGGTGACAAATGAACCTCCCAGCCACTGCTCCCGGCGCCCTACGCTAACGGGAGGCTGCTCTCCCGAGGCGGGGCAGGTGGGGGTCCGGGGACCTCTGGCGCTGGCCCGCTGGCCCCGCTGGCCCAGGGACTGTCTTAGCCGAAACCTTTTGTGCCTGGGCTGTTTATTGGTGAGCCCGGCCCGCTGTCACTGACTCCCAAAACCAACTGTTCCTCCTCCCTGAGACTCCGCCTAGGTGCCACGTGGCATGTCAACTTCCGCTGGGGCCTCAGAGTAGGGGGTCATTTTGACCGGCTATCTGGAGTAGGAAATCCAGCCAAGGTTCAAACAGGTGTTTTGCGGCTGTGGAAGGGAAGTAAGGGCTGGCCCTGGGATTCCTGGGAAGATGGAAGAAGCTACTCACCTGCCTAGCAGGTGTGTATAATTGAGGGGAGGGGCTCACTGCCCCCCTGCCGCCTACCTCTGCCGCCTACCTCTCTCTGGTTATTTATTTATATCAGTGCTTTTTGAGCTCATTACATCTTCACCATCTCCATGCAGAAAGGAAATTGGGGCTCATAGAGGTCACCTAGTTTGTAAGTGGCTGAACTGTGACTCAAATTCCAGCTGTGCAGAAACTTTCAGGGAATTTCCTTCCTAAGCTGTGGCATCTATCTGCCTTCCCAGGACATGACATCTCTCCTATAGCATTGATGTCACATAAGATCCGTTGGACCAGCTGACTGTTAGGCAATGTGACTCAGTGATTAGAAGAGGGAGGCCAACACCATGGACTTTCCAGCTCTTCCACCTTCTCACTGTGACCTTGGGCAGCTGGCTTTACAAACTCTGTGCCTCAGATTGGGTCTAAGAAACACCCTTGTGTGAAAGAGGATGTTGTGAGGCTGAATGCCAGGCAGATCACTTGGCGTATCTTCCCAGGCAACTATCTTGGTATGGAAAGGGGGCCTGTAGTTTGCACTGGCAGGTAGGAGAGCAGTGGGCTGGTGTCTGGACAACCTGGCCTGGAAAGGACCCATACACATCCCTTGAGGGCTGCTCCTCATTCAGTGGTGATTCGTGGAGCACCTACAACTCTCTAGAGTTGGGGGAGAGTTCCCACATAAAGACAGCGATAAAATAATTATGGATTGGCCCAAGAGTAGTGTATGAAATTGAGAAACAAACAGGCCAGCCTTGTCTGAGGGAAAAGAATCAGGTCTCCAACACTCCTGCAGGTGGCAGCTGCTCCTGGACATTCTCTGCTGCTTCTCCCAGGTTGGAGTTAATGGCCTGGACTGGGGCAGCCCGGGAAGAACTACTATGCAATAACATGTTGCTTTTACTGTTTTCTTTCAGGGTTTGGTCCTTTTGGGGAACACACTGTGAATGCCAGTTGGATTGCAGTTCAGGTAACTTAGATCTGGAGGGTAGGAATCAGACGTGAGGCTGGGCTCCCCCCAGAAAATTATGGCACCAAAGAGGCTCCTCTCATGAAACATTTATGTCCAATGTACACATCTTCTGACTTACGTTCATTGGGAACTTGTTTGCAGCCTGGCACTTTGAATTCTCCCAACAACCCTTGTGGAATAGGTACAGTCGTCATTCATGTGCCCACTTTACAAATGAGGAAACTGAGGCCTGGAGGAGTGATGAAGGGATTTTTTTTTGAGGTCACACAGACTGGAAACAGTCTTGCTTCTGATGTACTGCATGCCTTGACTAGTGGCTACAGATTTGAGACAGGGAGCGCCTGGGAATGGATATAAATGTTGCATTTCCAGGACACAGTTGCTTCAGTGGGACTGGCTCCTACTTTAACTTAGGAATCATCCATAGAAGGGATCTTTCTCCTTTTTATCAAAAATCTTTTCCATTTATTTAAAGACAAACGGTGACTCCAGTTAGTTCTCAAATGACCAGCCTGAGATTTCTCCATGTGCTTTAGGCAGGTGCTTCCCAGTTTGGGAGGAACCAGGCAGGAATATTTTTGGGGGGCTGGTGTCTTAACCTTGTGGGAGGTGGTGCAGTGACCCTCATTGTCACCTCCAGACAGCTGGGGGAGGAAAATTTGCATATTGGGGGTGGGGAGGGTTGTCTCTCTTGGCGTTGTGAGCAGAATGTCAGTCTGCAAAGCCTTTCCTAGTTTCTTTACCAGATGGGGCATTTGGAGGTCCAGACTGGGAACAATGAGCAGAGAGAAAGGGGAATGTTTTCTTCTTATATAAATCAGATCTGCAGAGACCAGAGCCAAATTCATGTTAATCCTAGGCCATTAGCTGCCTGATTTAAAGTATACCCGCTTCCCACTCCAAAGTCCTGGATTTAGATAAAATCCAACTTGAACCTCAATGTGGCAATTTCCAGATGGCCTTCTCCCTATGCCCCACCTTTTTTATCACTCAGATCTCAAAGTCTTAGCTGCTTCCCTTATTCCCCCCCCCCCACACACACACTTTTGCAAGCGGATTGGAGGGCTGGGGTCCCGGGACCCTGCAGATGGGAGCGTGTCCGGGGCCCTGCCTGTGCACCGCTCCCTGGAGCCCAGACAAAAAGGAACAGCGTGTTTCTGAAGACTTGTGTGTCTGGCTTTGTGCAAGTTTCAGACAGGAGCCTTCACGGGGCTGAGTGGACACAAAGCCAAGTGTCTGAATTCCTGGGCCCCAGACACTGTGATCTGCATCTAAATAGAAGAAAAATCAATTAAACAATCTTTGGAAATCCCTCAGAGCTTTGGGGCTCACTCTGATGGTGGAGATGGCAGCTTTTCATTCTGTGGTGGGAGGGGGGGAATATCCCTTCTATTTAGTCCTTGTCTCTTGACTTTCTTCCTGAAGTTTGTAAAATGAGGAGAGAGGTTTCTCCACTATTCCCCCGCTAAAAAAGATGCCAGCCTTCTCAGATCTGTTTCCTTTTTTTTTTTTTTTTTGAGATAGAGTGTCACTTTGTCACCCTTGGTAGAGTGCTGAGGCATCATAGCTCACAGCAACCTCCAACTCCTGGGCTCAAGTGAGCCTCTTGCCTCAGTTTTTCTATTTTTAGTAGAGACGGAGTCTCACTCTTGCTCGAGCTAGTCTTGAACTCCTGAGCTCAGATGATCCAACCTCCTTGGTCTCCCAGAGTGCTAGGATTACAGGCATGAGACACCACACTCCGCGCTCTGTTTCTCTTTTTAAGGAAAAAAAAAAAAAAACAACTGGAGTCTAGCTTTTTATATACCAAGCATATCTGTCTGTGTAATCAGTGAAGTTTTATGTCTATGCATCCCCAAGTTCTGGATCAAGATCTCAAACATGTGCTGGTTCTTCTTGATTCATTCACAGAAGCTCCTGGAGGGCCCTTCCCAGTTACTGTCCCCCAAGAAGTCAGCCTCTATGCTGACATTTTGCCACTTAGGTGAGGTTTTTTTTTGGCTGGGGCTGGGTTTGAACCTGCCACCTCTGGCATATGGGGCCAGCGCCCTACTCCTTCAAGCCACAGGCGCTGCCCTGGTGAGTTTTTTTTTTTTTGAAACAGAGTTTCACTTTGTCACCCTTGATAGAGTGCTGTGGCATCACAGCTAACAGCAACCTCAAACTCTTGGGTTTAAGTTATTTTCTTGCCTCAACTTCCCAAGTAGCTGGGACTATAGACACCTGCCACAATGCTCGGCTTTTTTCTTTTTTTTTTTGTGATTGTTGTCATTGTCGTTGTTTAGCAGGCCCTGACCATGTTCAAACCCACCAGCCCCAGTGCATGTGGCTGAGCTACAGGCACTGAGCTTAGGTGAGTTTTGCCTGTTTTAAAACTTGGCAAAGATGGAGTCATGTGGAGAGTTGGTGTTCGGGTTTAGCAGTGTCTGTGTAGCTCAGTGTCTGTGTAAGCCACCATGGAGTTGCACAGAGCTGCCGTTGGTTCTTCCTTGTTTCTTTGGATAAAATCACATTTGCCTGTTAAAAAGGTGTCACCTCTAGATGAACTCCATCCCTCAAAAAATACACCTTGGGATGTTCTTGGTATAGTGCAGAGACAGTCATAGGCAACACGGGGTGTCTATCACTTCTATCTGAAGACGTGTGTTTTGTTCTATGGGTTGAGCAGCAGTTGCTTCCTCCTACTGCCAATTTTTCAGAAACTCAAGTGTTCACATCTGTAGAAGGAACTTCTTCTCCCACAGGGACCCGTTCATGCTCCTTCCCTCTGTCCCTGTCTCTCCCACTATCTCTCCCCCTCGCTCCCCTTCCTTCTCCATTTCTCCCTCCTCCTCACACCCTCTGTCTCCCCTCTCTCCTCCTCTCCCTCCTCCCCTCTTCCCTTCTCTTCCCCTCTCCTCCTTTCTTCCTCCTCCCTTCCCTCCTTCCCTATCTCCCTTATTATCTGGGTCTCTCTGTCTTTCTCTCTTTTTCTCTCTCTTTCTTTCTCTCTATCTCTCCCTCTGTCTCTCTTTCTCTCTGTCTCTCTCTCCCTCTCTCTCCATCTCTGTATCTCTTTCACGTCACTTCTCTCTCTTTCTGTCTCCCTGTCTCTGTCCCTCTCTTCTGATCTTCCTTCTTTATGCCCTGGGTAAACCCACGCCCTGACATAGAGTGAACTGTTTCCCACCAGCCACGTTCAGGAGATGGGAGTTGTGTCAAGGGACAGAAGGGGAAAGACCCCTTACACCTTTCCCCAGGATAGTGGCTGCCCCCAGCACCTCTTGTAGGAGGCACCACATCTTTCGTGTGTCCTTTCGCCCCCAGATCTTGGGTGATAGGCTGGGAAGCTGGCTGCATTTCTTTCTCTCCTGAGGAGACTCAGGTGGGTGTCTAGGGCTCAGGAGCTCCTGGGCTCGGGGTATCTGGAGTGTCCCCTGCCCAAGCAGGGTGAGGAGGAGCCAGGTCACAGAATGTGGAGACATCGTGGGACAATTACTGCTGCAGTGAGTCTAGACAGACCTGCTAAGGATATTACCAGGGAACAAAGAGGGTCTTTGTCGTGGGGTCAGGGAATCGGTCAGATGTGGCTGCGCGGCGGGGTCTTGTCAGGTAGACGGGGTATAGACAATGTGGCATCTGAGGCCTGAACCCTATTTCTTTCATGGTATATGCTCAGGGGCCACAGGCAAGGCCAGCTGTGCTCACTGCAAAATCTGGTGGGACTTAGGGGTTCCCTGCCTCCCCAATACTCACTCCATTGAGTCCTTTTGGAAAAGAACATCTTCGAAGGCAAAGAATTTAGCCAGAGCATCTACCACATCCTTCCTCATAACTCCAGATGAACTTTATGGGTGTCTCTCACCCCACTCCATTACCCTCTTTAAAACTAAGGACTAATTTGCATAAAGCAACATGTATGGATCTTAAGTTAACCCATCACTTCAGTGAAAAGTTTGTATGCTTGTGCCATTAATATCTTGTTTGAGATGTAGTACATTTCCAGACCATTACCTGGAACCCCCCCACCACGCATCACTTCCCATCCTGCCCTAGAGACAACCACTATCCTGCGCTTGGTTACCACAGATGAGCTGTGCCTGGTCTTATGCTGGGTATGAGCCGATGGCACAAACTCTGGGTCCCCCATGTGTCTGCTGCTTGGGCTCAGCCTGCATTGGTGCAGGGGACAGCTATTCTTTTCCCTGCTGTATGTCATTCCGCAGGATGCACAAACCACAGAGTTACCCCATCTTCCATGGACAGGTGTTTTGGGGGCTCCCAGGTTTGTAACTAAAAATTAAGGAGCAGGCCTGCTTCTAAGTAGCTCCGTGTATGTGTGTGTGATTGATAGTGGTTTTATCCTTTGGGGGGAGGGGTCCTCTTTTTTTTTGAGACAGAGTCTTGCTCTATTGCCCAGGCTAGAGTACAGTGGTCCCCTCATAGCTCACTGTAGCCTCCTAGGCTCAACTGATTCTCCTGCCCCACCCTCCTGAGTAAATGGGAATAAAAGCACACACCACCATGCCTGGCTAATATTAAATTCTCTTTGTAGAAACGGGGTCTCCTATATTGCCCAGGCTTACCTCAAACTCTTGGCCTTAAGACATACTCCCACCTCAGCCTCCCAAATTGCTGGGATTATATATGTGAGCCACCACTCTCAGATAGTTTTTTCAGTTTAAATTTCCTCCCACTTGTGGGGAGGGAGATAGGGAAAAGGTGGGCACCCAGAAGGCTCAAAGGTTAGGACAAGAAGATGACTCGTCCGTATCTTTCTAGAATTGCCAGTTCATTTTCTATCACTAAAAATCGATGTGGAGCTAGTCACAATGTCACAGCTGTCATTCCACTCACTGGGGATACTGAGGCAGGAGGATTGCTTGAATGTAGGAGTTTGAGGCTGCCGTGAACTCTGATCATGCTATTGCTTTCCAGCCTGCGTGACAGAGTGAGACCCTGTCTCTAAAAAAATAAAACAATCCATGTGGGTGGGTGGCTGTCCCAAATGCTTAGAA